ATAATGAAATTTAATGAAAGAGGTCTTAATGTTAAGTCTTATTGTGCTGAATATGTAGATATTGTTTTTGACTGAAAGCAAACAAGCAGAGCGATTCTCTTTAGTGCCCTATCGCCCAGAACTGTGACTTCGTAATATTTCTGTGTCTTTCCTCCCTCCTTCCTTATTCTTTCTGCTATTTACATATTACCCCAGCATGGAAAATGGAGACCCAGAGTTGACAATAAGAGCCCAGAGACCAGGGTTCAAATCCCAGCTCTGCCCCTTACTAGCTGAGTGATCCTGCACAAGCCATTGAATTTGCCTGGGCTTCAGTTTTTGAACTGTAAATAAGGCCATCTTGTGGCCTATCTCCAGAATGGCTGTGAAAGTTAAGTGAGATGGTATACACATGAGTACTTTAAAATGGTGCAGTGTTTTCACCATGTAAACATCATTGAGTTGTACAGTTAAAACATGGATGTATATTTTAGTGAAAGGTTTTTTTTTTTTTTTTTTTTTTTTGAGACAGAGTCTCACTCTGTCACCCAGGCTGGAGTGCAGTGGTGTGATCTCGGCTCACTGTAAGCACCACTTCCTGGGTTCATGCCATTCTCCTGCCTCAGCCTCCCGAGTAGCTGGGACTACAGGTACCCGCCACCACACCAGGCTAAATTTTGTATTTTTTTTTTTTAGTAGAGATGGGGTTTCACCGTGTTAGCCAGGATGACCTCGATCTCCTGACCTCATGATCCACCCACCTCAGCCTCCCAAAGTGCTGAGATTATAGGCGTGAGCCACGCGCCCGGCCAATGAAAGGTTCTTTATAGCAGTTTGTTCAGACAATTTCAATTGCATGGCTATTAAACTGATTGCTGAAGAAAAAGGTGAAAGAATGATTTCAAGTTAGCTTTAAGTCATTAATACAGGGTTGAATAGATACTGAGTTTATATGGGAACTAGCCAGTTCGCTGTACTGAGACAACTCCACATTTTGTTCATTATTACTTCCTAAATCTCAGTGTTTTAATTTTACCCTATTCAAATACAATAGAACTACCTTTTGGTAATCTGGGAACTTGTATTTGAAGTCAAATTTAGGAGCTCTTTGTGGAAAAGTACATGATAGAGTAAAGGATGATTTATTAGGTTGCTCATAAATTTTGTCTTTAAAATACTGCCTGGGATAGACGAGCCATTATAATTGTTTGGTTTTGTTTGTTTAGTGCTCTAGACTCAGTGCTTTGCACAGTGCCTGAAAAACTGTGCTCATTTACTTGAGAACTAAGGGGTACCCAGGACTCAGGACTTTCAGTGTTAAAGCCGGGAAAGTCCCGGGCAAACTAAGATGGTTGGCACGTGGAAGATGCTGATATATTTGTGAAAGGAAAGGAGGGAGGAAGTAAGGAAGGCAATGAATTGGTAAATAAATTTTGGTACTATAGAACCCTCCTTTCCTTGAAATTTTCTAGAACTATATGTCATGTGTGCCTATTTTAAACATTTTAGTATTCATGTTCAAAAGCCACTATACTGCACTTTAAACACCATTATCTGGTAAAATGCCTTTCAATGAAGTGGTTACTGTTTGGCAAATATTCCATAGCTAGGACCACAGGCAGATGTAAAGATGTGGAAGCTACATATTTTAGACCCAATTGTCCGAATTCTTTTCTCCTGACTTAAGGATTTAATTACTTAAAAAAAGAGATTTATAAACCAGAGCGAAGATACCCGTGGAGACTGTACTGTATCCATGGACAATTAAATTCTAAATGCAGAGTTTGGGGTTTGATGTCGTTTTCCTGGTTAAACGCATGTAGGGCTGGAAAAGGCCTCAGAAACTCCCCCGGCCCCTTCTGTTACCAAAGGGTAAAGTGAGTCCAGGGTGGGCCAGTGCTGGCCCAGGTCCCCTTGGCAAGTTGATGGAAAGGCTGGACTAGAATGATCCTCTGCTTTTCTCTGTAGAGTGCATGCCACCTTTTTCTTCGATTTTCACTGCATTTGTCCTCCTTGCCTTCAGCCTATGAGCACTTTGGATCAAATTATGAAATCACTTGTCAGATTTGAGGATTTCCTGTGCTTCAAGGGTATGCACACCTATTTCTATTTCAAAACTAGTTGTTCCTACCTGACCCAGCCTCCTAAAAACTCTCCAAAAAATTGGGTACTGTACAGGTCTAATGAGGGTGCCTGAGAATAAGCAATATAAAAGCATTTTATCCATTAATCTCCAAGTGGGTTTCTACTCCTCATTTGGGGGTAAACATTGATGAATGGGGTCCTACAAATGGGCTTCCCTCTGAACGTGTGACTTTGATATGACTGTGAAGAGGAGCAAGTGAAAGTGGAGTGAATATACAGAACAGAGGTGAGAACAAAGCACAATCGCAGAAAGATGAACACAGCAAAGCCAAGTCTCAAGACACAAAGATGATAAGCTCAAAATTAGAAGACAACTAATGAAGTAGTGGACACCACTGTTATGGACTGTATGTGTCCCCCTAAAATGTATTATGTTGAAGCCCTAACCAGCAGGGTGTATTTGGAGATGGGGATTTGGGGAGGTAATTAGGTTTAGATGAGGTCATGAGGGTGGGACCCCAAAGATGGAATTAGTGTCCTCAGAAGATAATGAAGAGAGGCCAGAACACCCTCTTTCTCTGCCATTCGAGAACACAGTGAGAAGTGTCTGGCTGCAAGCTAGGAAAACAGCCAGACTTTGATCTTGGACTTTCTAGTTTTCAACACTGTAAGAAAATAAATTTTGTTATTGAAGCCAATCCACCTGTGGTATTTTCTTATGGCAGTGCAAGCAGACTGATACAGCCATATACACAATTCTTCCAACACCCTGGCCTGTTAGCTCCTTGACTTCTTACTCCCTGTGACCCCGCATTCCATCCTACCTAATCACCCACTGCTGTCTAAATCACCTGGACTAGGGACTCTCCACCTTCACTGCCCGTAAGATTCACTCAGAAAGTCTAAAACTCAACACCTGGACATCACCACAGCCCATTGGAATCACAGTATTTCACAGGGTAGAGCCTGTTGTTTAAAAGTTCCCTGGGTGATTCTAGTGTGTGGCCACGATTGAAAACCACTGCAAACACACTCAAGCAAGTTCAAATCAATGAAATGACAACCTTATATAAAATTAGGCAAAGAAGTCGGCATGGTGACTCACACCTGTAACCCCAGCAATTTGGGAAGCTGAGGCAAGAGGATCACTTGAGCCCAGGAGTTCGAGACCACCCTGGGCAACATAGTCTAACCCCATCTCTACAAAAAAATACAAAAATTAGCCAAATATAGTGGTGTGCACCTGTAGCCCCAGCTGGCTACACTCAGCCAAGTGAGGTTGAAGTGAGAGGATCACCTGAGCCTGGGAGGACGAGGCTGCAGTGAACTCTGATCTGACCACCGCACTCCAGTCTGGGCAACAGAGCAAGACCCTGTCTCAAAAAATAAAAATAAATTAAAAATTGAAAATAAGCAAAGAAAAAAAAATTTATAGAGGAAATGAAAATAGTTAATAAATGTGTGGGGAAATGTTCATATTTAGCTTCAATAGTGGTCAGGGAAATGTAACATTAAAAATATATATAATTTTTATATTTCTTACATAAATATATATTATAAATATATTTAATATATTGTGCCATTTTAATAATGCAAAAGCCTAGTAAAAGTAGAAAGTTCAATAATTGTGGTATGTCCACATAATGAAAAATTATTCAGCTACTGATAGAAGGGAGTATAATTGTATGTATTGACATGGAAAGAAATATATCTATACACAAGTGTATGATATGAGGAATAAAACAAATCACAGAACAATATCTGGTATAATCTTTCTTTTTTTATTTTTTTAGAGATGGGGGTCTCACTATGTTGCCCAGGCTAAACTTGAACTCTTGGGCTCAAGCAATCCTCCTGCCTCAGCCTCCTAAGTAGCTGGGACTACAGAGACATACTATCAAGCCCAGCCAATCTCATTCTTATTTTAAAAAATGCTCTCATTACATGCAGAGAGACACATAGACTTATACAAGCATAAAAGACTGTCTTAAAAATCCTTTAACAGTAATTACCTTTAGAGAGTTGGAAAGGAAAGTGGGGACTTTCACATTTTGCATTGTATTTTGTGACTGTTTTTACAATAAACAAGCATATGCTATTTTTGTAGTGTAAATAGTCTGCTGTGAGCTCAAAGGGAAGCTTTACAAAGAAAAGCTTTCTGTGTCAGGAGGTTGGGGCTATTTCAAGGCCATCTTTTTACCATCATTTACACTTAAAAAAATCTTTCAGGAAATCTCACAGATAAGAAAATTTTGGGAAAGGTGTTGTTTCCTCCAGATTCCTTTTTAGAATTCTCCTCATTTGGAAAAGACTGCTGAACAGGTGATTTGTTCCTGGCACAGGAATTCCCAACCTGGATAGATTGCCATTGAGGTTTCTGCTATGGGGACGTCAGGAGAGTCCTCCACTGCTAAAGATTGAGGAGGAAAATAAGACTGTAAATGTGTCATAAACTGGGAAGAAATGTAGGAATGCCACAGAGCTGGAGACTGATGTTCAAAGCATAATGTTTCTGTCAGAAAAAATAAGGAGGCTGGGCATGGTGGCTCATGCCTGTAATCCCAGCACTTTGGGAGGCCCAGGCAGTTAGATGAGGTCCACACTGAGCTCCTTGAAGTCCATGGCGGAACGGGCAGCCATTGACTCTGGCATTGAGGACCCTGTGCCAACGCTGCACCTGACTGAGCGAGGTAAGGAACACAGGACGGTGGGGAAGCAGTGGGCCAAAGAGGAGGGGCTGGCCCCTGACCCATCCTCATTACTGAGGGGCCGGACCCCCACCTCACTCCATAGACATCATCCTGAGCAGCACATCAGCACCTCCTGCCTCAGCTCAGCCACCCCTGCAGCTGTCAGAGGTGAACATACCGCTGTAGTTGGGTGTCTGTCCGCTGGGCCCTGTGCCCCTCACCAAGGAGCAGCTCTACCAGCAGGCCATGGAAGAGGCCGGCTGGCACCACATGCCACACCCCTCTGACTCTGAGCGTATCCGGTGAGGGCCATAGGGAAGGGGGCTGGGCTGGGGTTCGAGTCTTAGCAAGGAGGCAGTGGCTAAACCTGTGAGGCTGTGGGTAGAGCGCCAGGCCCCTGACTTGGGCTCTCCACTGAAGGTCAGCACCACCCTGGGTCTTTCTGTACCACCTCCACCATGGGGATGCGGTTCTGAGCACCCTTTTGATCAGAGCAGGATTAGTAGGCAGCTGGCACTGACCTTCCTGTTGCTCCCACAGGCAGTACCTCCCCCAGAACCCCTGTCCGACGCCCTCTACCACCACTAGATGCCACCCCCACACTCGGACACTGTGGAGTTCTACAGCGCCTGTCAACCGAGACACTCTTCTTCATCTTCTACTATCTGGAGGTACAGCAGGGCCCCCAGGGCAGCCTCGGGCCCCCCGGCTTCACCGCCACCGCCACCGTCCCTCCTCGGGCTGGAGGGGTGAGGTGGGTGCCCCACTGCGACCACTGGGACCGCACCCCCTCCCTATTCTCAGTCCCCACCGCCAATTCAACTTGTCCCTGTTCCCGCTTCCAGCCCAAAGGTGTTAGAACTGCTCGGGTTGAGAGCGAGGCCAGTCCACTGTGGCTCACCCCAGCCCTGCTTCCAATAGCTTACTGCGAGGCCAGTCCACTGTGGCTCACCCAGCTCCTGCTTCCAATAGCGATTGTCTAGCCTATGGGGCACCCTGTGATCCCTGCTCCAGCAGCTCCCTTTGGTCTAGGCCAACCCCATCTCCACTCGCTTCGGCACATTCTCAGGCCTCCCTGGAGGCCACTGGGGAACTGTCCAACCTCCTCCCCACCCCAGTGAGTCATGAGTGACCTCCACCCTCATCCCCACTTGGGAAATTTTCTAAATTGCCTCCTCTCTCAGCTCTCATCACACATTAGTTTTTCTTCCTTCTCAAAGCTTCTCTGAAAGCAATTTTCACCTCCTGTCTCATTTTCCTTCTCCTGACCAGCATTGGTATGTTCTGTGCCCCCAGCCCCATCTCCACGAGGATTGTCCAGCCCAACTGTGGTCTGTGGCGGGGGCCGGGGTTCAGCCCTGATGTCCTGCCCCATCCCCCTGGCTCCCCACCCAGTTTGGGGGCCCCCTGATCCCCCTCTCCACTGTTCCTCCCCCAGGGCACTAAGGCACAGTACCTGGCAGCCAAGGCCCTAAAGAAGCAGTCGTGGCGATTCCACACCAAGTTCATGATGTGGTTCCAGAGGCACGAGGAGCCCAAGACCATCACTGACCAGTTCGAGCAGATGAGGGCCCCGCCCCCTCTCTTCCCGCTGCTAGGGTTGGGGTAGAGTCCCCAGGCTCCAGGCAGCCCCTGCTGGCCTCTGCGCCCTCGCCTCCACCTTTCAGCCGGTGCACTCCCTCAGCCTGACCATGTTCTCCTCCCTCGGGCTGTCTGCTCAGCCTGGAACACTGCCCTCTCATCCTCCACTTGGCCAGCTCCTAGGCCTCCTGTGGGTCTTAGTGCAAATGTCCCTTCCTCAAAGACACCTTCCTGGCGCCACCCAGCCTGGTGTCTCCCCCTTGCAGTGCTGGGCACACTCGCTTGGGTGTGGGATTTTCCCGGGATGTCTCCCTGTACCAGGCTGTGGGCTCTGCTGCCCAGGGACCTTGATGGTCCCCCTTTCACCTCCAGGTCCCAGCACCCAGCAGGGCAGGGGTTCAGTGGGGAAGCTATTTTTTTTTTAATGGGCTTCTCAAGTTGTAATACTGGAAAATTCCTGCTTCTTGCAAACACTCTGGAGCCAGCCTACCTGGGTTTGAGCCCAGTCTAGCTGGGTGACTCTGGGCAAGTCACTCGAACCTCTGTGTCTCAATTTCCTTATCTGTAAAAATGGGGGGAAGAAGACCTACCTAATGCAGTTGTTATGAAGATTAAATGAGTTAATAACGTGTAAGTACTTAATGGTGACTGCTACATAGTCAGTGTCATGGATTTTTTTTTTTTTCCAAATTACTTTCAGTTGGTGTGTTCTACAGTGACGTTTTTTTCCCACCAAATACTTCCCTGAAGCCGAGCCCCTTCACGGGGATGAAGTATTACAAGGTCCTTGTCCTCAGAGAACTCAGTCCCCTCTCCTAGTTCTCCCAGGTTGCCATCTTTGAAGCATTTAAGACATTCATTCAGAACCTAGCTCCTCTCCCACTGTGTCCTCAGACATTAACTACAGACTTCTGTCCTTTCCTGGTTTGGCCCAAAACCATCCTCCAACTTAGTACATTTCAGGCCATCCAGCCATTCAGAAATTCCCACACCACTGCCGTCACCAATAAAATGTCCCTGCAGAGTGCTTGGATTTAGACTCTGAGCCTGTTCCATTCTCTAGAACAAGGGTGACAGCACCCGCTGCCTGGAGGTCTTTGTGAAGATTAAATGCTAGGCTGTGCATCCTGTACTCACACGTGAGAGGTGCTCAAAAGCCGCAGCCCTCGAGAAAACGAAGGCTGTGCACTCACACCTGGGGCTGGGGCTGGGGCCCTGCTCTGGCAGCTGGCTTCTGTGGAACCTCTGCGGCCCCCTCTGTTTCCTCCTCGCTGAAGTGGCATGATAACATTTCCTACCCAAGAAGAACCTTCTGAGGGTGGAATGAGAGTGTGCGTGCAGGGCAGTTGGCCTGGTGCCTGACACACCTACAGCCCTAAGAACGGTCCCCTTTGTCGGTCTGGCCCAGATCCCAAACCACCTCCTCATCCACTGACTGACCGCTTTCTCCCCCGGCCAGGGCATCCACATCTACTTTGACTACGAGAAGTGGGGCCAGCGGAAGAAGGAAGGCTTCACCTTTGAGTACCGCTACCTGGAGGACCGCGACCTCCAGTGACACCGGCCCCTCCCTCTACCCACCCCCTTCCCCCGCATGCTGATCCCCCTGCCCAGGTGAGGGCCCTGCCCTGGAAGACTGGAGGGAGGCCCCAGGCCACGGGGCATCCC